TGAATACTATCGATCGATGCTTGATATCGTTTCATGAGTAATTGTGATCCGCCAACAAATCGTTCACTATCGAAATGACTCTCCGACTTGAACATTTCTTTCAAATCAGTTTTCGTATTCGACGAAGCGATTATTCGAACTGCGGTTATGTATTGCCATGGATTAATACCCGCCTGTTGATTTGCTTGTAAGAAAGTTACAATATCCTTGACAATATTTCCTTGACATTGACCGTTGGTTTCATTGAATTTCGTTCTGAGATAAGCTGTATCGATTTTGGGTAAAGATTGCAAATAATCAATGGTCGCACGGCACAGAGCACAGACGGTGACGCCGTAGTGTGTAGTGTCTTTCAATGCACGGGACGATTTCAATTCGAGAAAGCCAGCATCAAATGCATGGCTACTTTCCAAGACGAACAAGAATAAGAAGAGAAATCTAGCCGACATCTTTTGTTGACGAAAGTAAATGCGCTCGATGCACAACGCTCTTGTTATCTTGCGCAGACTCTTATTTCATTCGTCGTCTTACTTAAGAAAAGAAAAACATACTTGCTTCAGTATGAGTAAGAATTTTATTATTGAAACTGAAAAAAGAAATTGTGTAAAAAGAGAGACAGAAAGAATTTGCATGTCACACAAAAATTAGTCAATAGCTACTCTGTATGTAATGTATTGACAACGAACGATCGGTATGACTAATTCTGTAATATTTTATGCATTTACATGCACAAGCTTTTGCGTTCTGGCAATCTACTTATTCATTTTTGGCAAAAATATATTCGTAAAGTCCAATACGTATTTCTCCTCTGGGCACAATAATATTCCATATTTCTAATTGATTTTGTTCCAACGTTCTACCACTTTCAACAATGGTATCGGCTAATAAATATTTCTTTGTATTGACTAAAAATGCCTCCGATGCTCCACTTATTTTATCTAAATGATATGTGTGTCGATGGATATGATGTTCTTCAAGGAATCTCGTGGTCTGACAGATGTATTCACTGGCAATGAGGACTTTATTCGTTTTCGTCCATTTAGCCGGTTCAATCGATTCGCCTGAACGACGTACCAATGCCAGACAAATCGTTGGATCAACGATTTCATGCACGGTCGCATAAGTTTTTGGATAATTTTTCACCACGGAATCAAATGTGATGATGTGTGTCAGACGTTTTGTTGCTAATAACCATATCATATCTTTGGGTTTACTTGAAAATAACGTAAGTTGAAAATTTGCATCTGGATGAAAATATTTCGAAAATTTGTCTCGATCGATGATTTGTCCACTAACATGAAAATTACGACCGGACTGTCGTCTGATCCGTATGCCTAGTTCCTCTTCAGCAAATCTATCGGTTTTATCAGTGTATTTCGAACTTGTAATTCCAATTATGATTTCCTTGGATTTTTGTTCAATCATAGGAGTAGTTAAACCTTTTGCCATCCATCGTCGTCGATTTAATTCATTACAGATGTCTTCAATTGATATTCCCATACCATTGAGATACATGATCAAATGCGCAATCATATCACTACATTCGTCGGTTTGATTGTCGTTGTGGCAAGCGACAATTTCCCACAACTCTTCCATGATTTTCACCAGAGCTAACGAAGGATTTCGTTGGATTTTTCCGGTGTAACTATCAGTAGACATTCGTGATTTGATATGGTCAGCTAGAATAGCAAAATTGGCTTTTAAACTTGTTTGCACATTGAAACAACTATGATTCCCTGTGTGACAAAATGGTTTGTTCGAATCAACAGTAATCAGCAGTGCATCCGAGTCACAATCAACACTTAATTGGATTACTTGTTGTTGGTCACCGGACATTTCACCTTTCATGATCACCCGTTGTAATTTTCTTGAATAGCGATATAAAACTCGATTTTCACATGTTTTCTCAATCGACTTGTCGTTCATGTAAACTAAACCTTTCACTGACCCATTGACATCCTGAATAATCGCTGGTACAAGACCATTCTCATCGAAATACAGCATTCGATTGTATATCTGTCCGATCGTCAGCTTGTTTTTCCATATAGCCGAACCAAGGACTGGTATAACACGAGGAAACGACCAAAGGTAATCCAAATCATCCAATGAGCTAACTCCACCGGCAATATAAATTTTTTCGATTTCATACGGAATTTGTGAAATTAATTCGCGAATTTGTTGACGAGGAATTCCGGAAAGATGCCCTTCGGTTTGAACCAATGTTATACTAATAACACGGACACCAACACCAATTAATTGATGAAGTCTTGTTAAGATATTTACGTGTGTATTAGTTCGTCGTCCATGAATCAGCACTTCGTTTTTCTCGTTGACGCTTATCTCAACGATCAGACGATCTTTGGGAATTTTTTCGATTAACGAATCTTCACCACTGGCCATGACACATCGACGAATGCCGGAATTCAACATTTCTTCAAGATCATCGATAGTTCGTAAGCCACCACCTGTGTGTACATGATATTTTAGAGCTAACTGTTTGATAATTCGACGATTGACTGTGTCGACTTCACCGAATGCACCATTGAGATCAACAACCAATATATCCGGAAAGATTGCAAGCTTTTCCATGGCTTTCAGATAATCTCCACTACTATGAATTTCGCAAACTTGTGAGCTTTTCACTAAGACTGGCTGGCCATTGAACATGTCCATAGTAACGAGAACTCGACGAGATGTTTTACCTTGAATGTTCAACCACAAATCTTGTAAATGCTTAGGAATTCTTAAATCGGTATCAGTTAATAGTCGATGAATTTCTTCTTGGTAAAAGTAGGAATTCAAATCGAATAATTCTGTTTGATGAAATCGATTTTTCCTAAAATATTCTTGGAACATTTCGTTAAAATCAGTCCATTTCTGTAGAATTTGTTCTCGAGATTTCGATCCACCGGTACGCCATATGTCCTTGTCAAACTTGGTTTGATTCTCATCCTTCATTGTTATTCGCATACAATCCTGGTTGATTTCGCTCCAAAATTGCTCACCAGTCCGATTCAACATAAAACAAACATCTTTGATCAGAAAATTCACACGTGAGAAGTACGACTGAATCACCATAAACATTTTCAAAACAGCGAATTTCGTTTGTTTAAGATGAATAACATCAGTCAGAAGATCTTCACTGATANGATATCGTTTCATGAGTAATTGTGATCCGCCAACAAATCGTTCACTATCGAAATGACTCTCCGACTTGAACATTTCTTTCAAATCAGTTTTCGTATTCGACGAAGCGATTATTCGAACTGCAGTTATGTATTGCCATGGATTAATACCCGCCTGTTGATTTGCTTGTAAGAAATTTACAATATCCTTGACAATACTTCCTTGACATTGACCGTTAGTTTCATTGAATTTCGTTTCTAGATAAGCTATATCGATTTTGGGTAAAGACTGCAAATAGTCAATGGTCGCACGACACAAAGCACAGACGGTGACGCTGTAGTGTGTGGTGTCTTTCAATGCACGGGATGATTTCAATTCGAGAAAGCCAGCATCAAATGCATGACTACTTTCCAAGACGAACAAGAATAAGAAGAGAAGTCTAGCCGACATCGTTTGTTGACGAAAGTAAATGCGCTCGATGCACAACGCTCTTATTATCTTGCGCTGACTCTTATTTCATTCGTCATATTACTTACGAAAAGAAAAAACACACTTGCTTCGGTATGAGTAAGAATTTTATTATTGAAACTGAAAAAAAAAAGAATTGTGTAAAAAGAGAGACAAAAAGAATTTGCGTGTCGCACAAAAATTCAGTCAAAAGCTGCTCTTTATACCATGTATTGATGACGAGCGAACGGTATGACTAATTTTGTAATACTTTATGCATTTACATACACAAACTTTGCGTTCTGGCAATCGTCTTATTCATTTTTGGCAAAAATATATTCATAAAGTCCAATACGTATTTCTCCTCTCGGCACAATAACATTCCATATTTCTAATTGATTTTGTTTCAACGTTCTACCACTTTCAACAATGGTATCGGCTAATAAATATTTCTTTGTATTGACTAAAAATGCTTCCGATGCTCCACTTATTTTATCTATATGATATGTGTGTCGATGGATATGATGTTCTTCAAGGAATCTTGTGGTCTGACATATGTATTCACTGGCAATGAGGACTTTATTCGTTTTCGTCCATTTAGCCGGTTCAATCGATTCGCCTGAACGACATACTAATGCCAGACAAATCGTTGGATCGACGATTTCATGCACGGTCGCATAAGTTTTTGGATAATTTTTGACCACTGGATCAAATGTGATGATATGTGTCAGACGTTTTGCTGCTAGTAACCATATCATATCTTTGGGTTTACTTGAAAATAACGTAATTTGAAAATTTGCATCTGAATGAAAATATTTCGAAAATTTGTCTCGATCGATGATTTGTCCACTAACATAAAAATTACGACCGGACTGTCGTCTGATCCGTATGCCTAGTTCTTCTTCAGCAAATCTGTCGGTTTTATCAGTATATTTCGAACTTGTAATTCCAATTATGATTTCCTTAGGTTTTTGTTCAATCATAGGAGTAGTCAAACCTCTTGCCATCCATCGTCGTCGATTTAATTCATTACAGATATCTTCAATTGATATTCCCATTCCATTGAGATACATTATCAAATGCGCAATCATATCACTGCATTCGTCGATTTGATTGTCGTGGTGGCAAGCGACAATTTCCCACAATTCTTCCATGATTTTCACTAGAGCTAATGAAGGATTTCGTTGGATTTTTCCGGTGTAACTGTCAGTAGACATTCGTGATTTGATATGGTCAGCTAGAATAGCAAAATTGCCTTTTAAACTTGTTTGCACATTGAAACAACTATGATTCCCTGTGTGACAAAATGGTTTGTGTGAATCAACAGTAATCAGCAGCGCATCCGAATCACAATCAACACTTAATTGGATTATCTGTTGTTGGTCACCGGACATTTCACCTTTCATGATCACTCGTTGTAACTTTCTTGAATAGCGATATAAAACTCGATTTTCACATGTTTTCTCAATCGACTTTTCATTCATGTAAACTAAACCTTTCACTGATCCATTGATATCTTGGATAATCGCTGGTACAAGACCACTCTCATCGAAATACAGCATTCGATTATAGATCTGTCCGATCGTCAACTTGTTTTTCCATATAGCCGAACCAAGGACTGGTATAATACGAGGAAACGACCAAAGGTAATCCAAATCATCCAATGAGCTAACTCCACCGGCAATATAAATTTTTTCGATATCATACGGAATTTGTGAAATTAATTCCCGAACTTGTTGACGAGGAATTCCGGAAAGATGCCCTTCGGTTTGAACAAATGTTATACTTATAACACGGACACCAACATCAATTAATTGATGAAGTCTTGTTAAGATATTTACGTGTGTATTAGTTCGTCGTCCATGAATCAGTACTTCGTTTTTCTCGTTGACGCTTATTTCAACGATCAGACGATCTTTGGGAATTTTTTCGAATAACGAATCTTCACCACTGGCCATGACACATCGACGAATGCCGGAATTCAACATTTCTTCAAGATCTTCGATAGTTCGTAAGCCACCACCTGTATGCACATGATATTTTAGAGCTAACTGTTTGATAATTCGACGATTCGCTGTGTCAATTTCACCGAATGCACCATTGAGATCAACAACCAATATATCCGGAAAGATTGCAAGCTTTTCCATGGCTTTCAGATAATCCCCACTACTATGAATTTCGCAAACTTGTGAACTTTTCACTAGGACTGGCTGCCCATTGAACATGTCCATAGTAACAAGAACTCGACGAGATGTTTTACCTTGAATGTTCAACCATAAATCTTGTAAATGCTTAGGAATTCTTAGATCTGCATCGGTTAACAGTCGATGAATTTCTTCTTGGTAAAAGTAGGAATTCAAGTCGAATAATTCTGTTTGATGAAATCGATTTTTCCTAAAATATTCTTTGAACATTTCGTTAAAATCAGTCCATTTTTGTAGAATTTGCTCTCGAGATTTCGATCCACCAATACGCCATATGTCTTTGTCAAACTTGGTTTGCTTCTCATCCTTCATTGTTATTCGCATACAATCCTGGTTGATTTCGCTCCAAAATTGCTCACCAGTCCGATTCAACATAAAACAAACATCTTTGATCAGAAAATTCACACGTGAGAAGTACGACTGAATCACCATGAACATTTTCAAAACAGCCAGTTTCGTTTGTTTAAGATGAATAACATCAGTCAGAAGATCTTCACTGATATTCTTATCGCCCATCTAACATAAACAGATCACAAAATGTTCAGAATTCTCGAGACTACAACTTACCGGTATAGCATATTGTTTGTCCGCAAGAATTTTCTTGAAAAATTCTTCTTTCCCGAGCGATTGTTCATATATGTAATAATAAATATTTTCATTTAATGCTTGTTTTGTATTTGGTGATATATGATTTGGATTTCTCCAATCAAATCGAACATAGGGTCCAGACCGATATTCCCCGTTGGTCCTCGGCGAAACAATATTTTCGTTGGTTAAAATTCCATAATACGAATTTTTATCCGTTCCCTCGCAATATCGTTTTACAATGATTTCCATAGGAGAAATTTCCTTGACAAAATCACTAACGATAATACCGTGTGCACTGATCGAGCGATAAGCATGTTTTAAACCATTTCGCCACATCATTTCTAGGAATAATTGCGAGCCACATGCACGAATGGATCCTAAACTATTGATTTCTCCTGTTATTTGTTTTGAATGAGAATAAATCGTCGATTTCAAAACGATAAAAGCTAGATTTTTCGTTAAAGGATTGCCGCTGATTTCTTTATAAATCTTCTTCGATTCACCTTCCGTAGTTAGTTTGAATATCGGTCCGGTGATTGGTAAATCATATTCTCCGCATCGGAGAATACTTCGTTCGGAATTAATTTCGCATGATTGATTATTGACATACCACTTTGTGTATAATTTTCGTTGATCAATATTAGTAAATTCATGCGCATATTCGGGTAAATTAGGTATTTCATCAAGACGAATGATTGAATGGAGTTGATTTTCAATGTCATGTTTTTCGATGATATCATACGTTAGAATTTGTGTGCCAATTCGACGGTAATGCTCATAAAAATTCGAGTCGTTGCGAATAATACTGAATATTTCGTGAGAAATCTCTTCGATAGCTGAATTCGTTATGTCAAGAAATGGTATTCCGAAATGAGCACCTAACTGTCGATAGCGTTGCTGATAGTAATGCAAAGCTTTCCTGGTGTACCATACGTCTTGTTTCAATGCCGTCGGAATTCTTTTTAGGATTGTGTCAACATCACAATCTAGAATAATCCAGTAGATTCGCTGATTTGCACTTGTTCGATCAGGTAAGATTGTATTCTTAAAGATTTCATCTTCGAACGGATGTTCAAATACCAGCTGATTGATTAGATTCGAATCAAATCCATACGAAGAAGCTGATGGGTCACCAGATTCAATAGCAATGATGTTGCCATTTCCTTGTTGGGAATTGATCCATTGACAAACACGGGATTTTCCACATCCACGGTTTCCCAGTACGCAAATGACGTCGTAGTTACTCATGATGCAAACAAATTCTATTGTTATAATCTAGTATAAAACAAAACGAAGACGTGATTTGTTATTTATCGAACGATTTCTACTCATACAAGCAAGTAAAAAACAAATAATGAGTCTGTCATACTTATTCATTAGGTGAAAAGAAAAAAAAAGATTTTTTTGTTATTGCACAAATCAAATGAAAGGGTGTTATTAGCTAATCGTTAGTAGCTGACCATCACGGTAAAATCCACCACTCTCAAGTTGATTTGCAGGAGTGTTGATAACATATAAAATCGAATCGGCACCAAGTTCAGCTGAACGCGCGTTGGTTGCGAAGTGAGTCATGTCAGTTGCACAAAAGCCAGGTGTTACACTGAGACAAAGTAAATTTTTGCGAGCCGACCATTGACGTGTCTCGATTTGCGTCAATGCATTTAGGGCCATTTTACTCACACCATAGACAAACCAGTCAGGTTTTGTACGATAGCCAAGGTTTTCTAGATTATTCGTTCGAACACTTGAGATGAAATCTTCAACTAATTCATTCAGTTGAGTCTGAGTCAATTCTGATGAAGTGTATTTCTCCTGAAGACTTCGAGAGCATTCCTGCAATGTATCTATACCAACTTGACTAGAAACATTAATAATTCGACCATTATTTATCAACAGAGGGGTCATATGTTCGTTTATAAACTGGATACCATAATAGTTAGTCGCGAATACCTGTCGAGCACTGTCCTCCGTGATTTCTGCTATTGATATTGCTGCGTTGTTTACAATAACATCAAGATATCCTCCATGTTTTTGTTTAATTTCTTCAATAGCGTGAAGAATACTTTCATTTGAAGATGTATCCAAATGAAGAACAAAAACATTCGATGGAGAGTTTAATTGTCTCAATGCATCATAACCTTTCTTCACATCACGGCTACCAAGAAGAATGATGGTCTCGTCTACTGATGAAGTTTCCGAGAGTTTCTTCACTACCAAGAAACCAATCCCTCTGTTTGCACCGGTGACAAGAATTTGTCGTGGTTGTTTATTGAATGACATGTTACAATGTATTGATATTTAGACAAGTGAAAAAAAACAGGTGAAAGAAATGTTATTCAACAACGAGCATATTCATTGCATATTTATATTTATTTCGCATACAGACTACTTGCATGTACGTACATGGTAAAAAACGATATTACCTATTTGTTTTGTTGCACGTGCTGCGACCGAACGTATCATATGATTTTCAGTAGACCGAAGAAATAAACGAGAAAAGGACGTCGCAAATAAAATGTATTTTGTTGCTGTAGATTCAGGACAAAGTTATTTTTGACTTGCTTATTATGAAGCGGGTCATAAAAAGTACAACAAAAAAGTTTAATCATCCCTTATATCTCGATCGAGGAATATTCGACGTGTAAATTTTGTGTGCAATAAAATGAAAAGTTATCTCGGATGTGTCCTTATCTGCTCTACGCCTCCAGAGAATAAAGATGTTATCATGTCACTCACATTCAGCACTTGTCACTCTTTTCGTTTTTAAAAGAAAACTGTAATGATCTTACCATTATTTATTTCTTTAATCTGTTTACTTTTCGTACCTCTTGATACTCGCAGCATCATCAATAATACTTCTTCAATTACTGTAGCATTGAATTGGGCCGATGTGACAGCCACACGACTTGTAGCTTGTTACTATCATAATCTGACTGGACATTGGAAAAGAGAAGAACCATGGCAAGGTGGCAATACTCTTGAATCGTTAGCTAATTTTTTGGCTCTCCAAAATTCACCCGTCAAATATGTATTCGAACATACATTTGCCAGAACTGATATATTCGCAGGTGGAACATGCTTTGATGATATGCAATGGTATCTACTTGCCTGGATCGAAATCTATGAAATTGATCCAAAGATAAAATATTTACATCGTGCTGAGTTAATCTTTGAAACTGTATCAAAGCTCGCATGGGATTCGATTGTGTGTACGGGGGGACTACGATGGTGCCCGACTAGACCGTATAAAAATGCCATCACCAATGAACTTTTCTTGACCAGTAGTATGCGCCTACATCCTTATGCATCACTACTTCGCAAGCCACTCTCCTACTATCTCGACTGGGCTCTCAAAGAATGGCACTGGTTCGAACAGACCACTATGATCAATAATAACTATCTCATCAACGACGGACTAAAGTATCCTCCTTTCTTCTCTTCTCCTCACCCTCACTCTCACTCACGTTCTTCTCGTTGTTTTCTAGCGACGACACTTGTCTCAACAATAATCAAACTACATGGACATACAATCAGGGTGTCATCTTATCTGGACTAGCTATGCTAGCCAATGCGACAAACAACGCAACGCTGCTCACCATTGCACAGAACATTGCCGATGCAACTNGAATTTGTTCTCGAGATTTCGATCCACCGGTACGCCATATGTCCTTGTCAAACTTGGTTTGATTCTCATCCTTCATTGTTATTCGCATACAATCCTGGTTGATTTCGCTCCAAAATTGCTCACCAGTCCGATTCAACATAAAACAAACATCTTTGATCAGAAAATTCACACGTGAGAAGTACGACTGAATCACCATAAACATTTTCAAAACAGCGAATTTCGTTTGTTTAAGATGAATAACATCAGTCAGAAGATCTTCACTGATATTCTTATCGCCCATCTAACACAAACAGATCGAAAAATGTTGAGAATTCTCGAGACTACAACTTACCGGTAAAGCATATTGTTTGTCTGCAAGTATTTTCTTGAAAAATTCTTCTTTGCCGAGCGACTGTTCATATATGTAATAATACATATTTTCATTTAATGCTTGTTTTGTACTTGGTGATATATGGTTTGGATTTCTCCAATCAAATCGAACATAGGGTCCAGACCGATATTCCCCGTTGCTCCTGGGCGAAACAATATTTTCGTTGGTTAAAATTCCATAATAAGAATTTTTATCCGTTCCCTCGCAATATCGTTTTACAATGATTTCCATAGGAGAAATTTCCTTGACAAAATCACTAATTATAATACCGTGTGCACTGATCGAACGATAAGCATGTTTTAAACCATTTCGCCACATCATTTCTAGGAATAATTGCGAGCCACATGCACGGATGGATCCTAAACTATTGATTTCTCCCGTTATTTGTTTCGAATGAGAATAAATAGTCGATTTCAAGACGATAAAAGCTAGATTTTTCGTTAAAGGATTGCCGCTGATTTCTTTATAAATCTTTTTCGATTCACCTTCTGTAGCTAGTTTGAATATCGGTCCAGTGATTGGCAAATCGTATTCTCCGATGCGCAGAATACTTCGTTCGGAATTAGTTTCGCATGATTGACTATTGACATACCACTTTGTGTATAATTTTCGTTGATCAATGTTGGTAAATTCATGCGCATATTCAGGTAAATCAGGTATTTCATCAAGACGAATGATTGAATGGAGTTGATTTTCGATGTCATGTTTTTCGATGATATCATACGTTAGAATTTGTGTGCCAATTCGACGGTAATGCTCATAAAATTTCGAGTCGTTGTGAATAATACTGAATATTTCGTGTGAAATCTCTTCGAGAGTTGAATTCGTTATGGCAAGAAATGGTATTCCGAAATGAGCACCCAACTGTCGATAGCGTTGCTGATAGTAATGCAGAGCTTTCCTGGTGTACCATACATCTTGTTTCAATGCCGTTGGAGTTCTTTTTAGGATTGTGTCAACATCACAATCCAGAATAATCCAGTAGATTCGCTGATCTGCACTTGTTCGATCAGGTAAGATTGTATTCTTAAAAATTTCATCATCGAACGGATATTCAAATACCAGCTGATTGATTAGATTCGAATCAAATCCATACGAAGAAGCTGATGGGTCGCCAGACTCAATAGCAATGATGTTGCCATTTCCTTGTTGGGAATTGATCCATTGACAAACACGGGATTTTCCACATCCACGGTTTCCCAGTACGCAAATAACGTCGTAGTTACTCATAATGCAAACAAATTCGATTGATATAATCTAGTATAAAACAAAACAAAGACGAAATTTGTTATTTATCGAACGATTTGTATCCACAAAAGCAAGTAGAAATATATAATATGAATCTGTCATACTTATTCATTAGGTGAAAAGAAAAAAAATACTTTTGTTATTGCACAAATCAAATGAAAGGGTGTTATTAGCTAATCGTTAGTAGTTGGCCATCACGGTAAAATCCACCACTTTTAAGTTGATTTGCAGGAGTGTCGATAACATATAAAATCGAATCGGCTCCAAGTTCAGCTGAACGAGCGTTGGTTGCGAAGCGAGTCATGCCAGTTGCACAAAAGCCGGGTGTTACACTGAGACAAAGTAAATTTTTGCAAGCCGACCATTGCCGTGTCTCGATTTGTGTCAACGAATTGAGGGCCATTTTACTCACACCATAGACAAACCAGTCAGGTTTTGTACGATAGCCAAGGTTTTCCAGATTATTCGTTCGAACGCTTGAGATGAAATCTTCGACTAATTCATTCAGTTGAGTCTGAGTCAATTCTGATGAAGTGTATTTCTCCTGAAGACTTCGAGAGCATTCCTGCAATGTATCTAAAGCAACTTGACTAGAAACATTGATAATTCGACCATTATTCCTCATAAGAGGGATCATATGTTCGTTTATAAACTTGATACCATAATAGTTAGTCGCGAATACCTGTCGAGCACTGTCCTCCGTGATTTCTGCTATTGATATTGCTGCGTTGTTTACAATAACATCAAGATATCCGCCATGTTTTTGTTTAATTTCTTCAATAGCGTGAAGAATACTTTCATTTGAAGATGTATCCAAATGAAGAACAAAAACATTCGATGGAGAATTTAATTGTCTCAGTGCATCATGGCCTTTCTTCACATCACGACTACCAAGAAGAATGATGGTCTCGTCTACTGATGAAGTTTCCGAGAGTTTCTTCACTACCAAGAAACCAATTCCTCTGTTTGCACCGGTGACGAGAATTTGTCGTGGTTGTTTATTGAATGACATGTTACAATGTATTGATATTTAGACAAGTGAAAAAAAAACAGGTGAAAGGAATGTTATTTAACAACGAGCATATTCATTGCATATTTATATTTATTTTGCGCATAGACTACTTGCGTGTACATGGTAAAAAACAATATTGTCTATTTCTTTTGATGCACGTGCTGCGACGCGAACGTATCGTATGATTTTGAGTAGACCGAGGGAATAAAGGAAAAAAGGTCGTCGCAAATAAAATGTACTTTGTTGGTGTACATTCAGGACAAAGTTATTTTTGATTTGTTTATTATAAAGCGGACCATCAAAAGTATAAGAAAAAAGTTTAATCCTCCCTTATATCTTGATCGAGGAATATTCGACGTGTAAATTTTGTGTGCAATAAAATGAAAAGCTATCTCGGGTGTGTCCTTATCTGTTATACGCCTCCAGAGAATAGAGGTGTTATCATGTCACTCACATTCAGCACTTGTCACTCTTTTCATTTTTGAAAGAAAACTGTAATGATCTTACCATTATTTATTTCTTTAATCTGTTTACTTTTCGTACCTTTTGATACTCGCAGCATCATCAATAATACTTCTTCAATTACTGTAGCATTGAATTGGGCCGATGTGACAGCCACACGACTTGTAGCTTGTTACTATCATAATCTGACTGGACATTGGAAAAGAGAAGAACCATGGCAAGGTGGCAATACTCTTGAATCGTTAGCTAATTTTTTGGCTCTCAAAAATTCACCCGTCAAATATGTATTCGAACATACATTTGCCNTTCAGAAAAGAGAAACAAAATCCCAGGCATGCGTATTGTGTGAAATTAATCGTAGGAGTATTCGTCAAACTTTGTGTCAACGGCATACTACAATTATGTACATTTTCTTTCTGAGGCTATTGGATAAGACCTGATTAGTGGAAACAATCATAAAAGCGACGAAGCGTTATCTGTTCGTATGCAAATTCCTGAAGCAACTATGTATTCAGCTGTATTCATGGAAATTGCTGGTAGGTTCAGTTCAAATACGACTGACCTGACGATCGTCAATAATTGTGTATATTATCACGTTGTAGTGAACTTTTGAGGAAAGACCTAATAATATCCCTGGGTTTCTACCTGAATGCGAGATTCACGATAATATTTTAAAATGTGAATTACATTCTAATAAAAAACGTGGCGTGTATATTAACAATTACTATACGAAGGAACATCTATGATAAAATTAAAAAAGGCTCAAAGTTCGAAGAATATAAAATTGTAAGAATAGCTCATCCTGATGGCACTTTGGTCTATCTTGTTTTGTTTAGACGATGCCAATAAGTTAAGCATTTCTATTTTTAGAATACGTCATAAATACTATGCACGGTAATATCTTCTTCTCTTTTAATTGATCGAAAGAAAAATGCTCTCATGCGAGATGAACGCGTGCCTAATGGAACCAGTACTTCGAATACTATGAACTTTTGTGACTTCATAACTGCACAATTCGCAAAATCCTCAAATGAGCATAAGAACCATGGATGGAAAAGCGATACCTTGTTGATAAATCACTTCTAAAACATTTTCGAACCATTTCAATATACACTTATGACTTTCTTTGATTGTCATAGTACGCACATTTATATCTAAATATATTTTTGGTTGCTTTGATTATCAATGAACAGCATTTGGTGATTAGTCAACATAACTTTGCTGTGCTCAAATGTATCAACATGTTATAGCTCTATAGAATGTGCGCACGTGTAACGCGAAAATTTGAATCTCATGTTTAATTGCTGTTTGAAATAACAATGATATGTATTGGAGTATTCCTCAGTATGAATGGTCTGCGAAATGCTGTGAATTCAAAACTACATTCTACATCATCCGGATGGGTGCAAAAGGTAATGGTAATGGTTTAAGTCGAGTTCCTTGCACGAATTGGTCAAAGCCAAGGAGCACAAATAATTACAACTCAGTTTCTGTTTGAAATACTGGCGAAGTCCTCCCGCCACTTGTTCGCTGATAGCCTAGCCATTTGAATTTAAGAAACCGTAGTGAAGAACTTCTCAAAAATACATGATATATCAAGAAAAAGAGGCGCAAACAGCTATGAATGTACTTGAAGAATCCTAATAAGTTAGTTCTACTAGCAAAAATACGCAAAACAAAGTTAATGATCCTTCATACCTTCATGATGCTCCTAAACATCCAAATATATACTTGGAAGAAAAAACGGAAAGTTAGAATATGTATTCGAATTGAAATATCTAGGAATTGAATTGAGATTTAAACTCGGATAAAGATAATATATTCAGTCATATTATTACAATACGAAATATTTCCTGCGAACTCTGTGAAATACTGAAAAAGAAAAATCACTCCTTCTTACCTTTGCTTTACAATTTTTTACGAAACATAAAAAAAAATGAAATTAATCATGCATACTCATTAGGAATTGGAATAGTATATTCACTATGGAAGTGGAATGATTGAAGTAACATTATACTAACTAGAGAGCAAGCTGTTTACGGCTATGTATTCAATTATTGGAAAAAAAATGAAAAGACATTCAAGTCAATCAGATGAGACAAGCAGTCACAATAAAATTTTCTATTCATATATGATTATCTTTACTATTTCATCACGTTACATCCCGTGAATGTACTTTCGAACAAGAGAGAAATTTTAAAAAAAACTATGATACAAAACGCATAGTGCAGTCAGATCGTAGGGAACTCGAGAAGATTGTAACTCTTTCAATCTTACATAAACGAAAGGAACTTATCAAGTTGTCGTTCTTATCTTTTCTTATAAAGAAAAAATGGATACTTGTAAGTAACTATTATTCAACATATGCCGTTCTCTTCAATTTTAAAACAGGCCGTAATGGTGTTACTATTACATATTTTCTTCATTTTTTTACTTTGTGCTCCAGCAACTGGTGAACTAACCATCGGTGATACATATTCACCGAATGAAGCATTGCAATGGGCAGAAGCCGTAGCTACACGGCTTGTATCTTGCTATTACAATGCATCATCAGGAATATGGTGGAATGAATTAGCTTGGCAATCGGGTAATACTCTCGAATCGTTAGCTAATTTTTTAAGTATTCGTAACTCATCTTTGAAATACGTTTTCAATCAAACATATACAAAAACAGCTTGGGATGTGGGAGGCGAATGTTTTGATGACTATCAACATTGGTTACTAGGCTGGATTCAAGCATATTCTGTAGATCCAAATATAAACTATTTACATCGTGCAGCAGATATCTATGATATAATTGTAACCAGAGCATGGAACGCTACAAAATGTCGAGGGGGCATCGACTGGTGTCCCAAAAATTCATATAAAAATGCCATCACCAATGAGCTTTTCTTGACAAGTAGCATGCGCCTACATCCCTATGCAACACTACTTCGCAAGCCACCCTCCTACTATCTCGACTGGGCTCTCAAAGAATGGCACTGGTTCGAACAGACCACCATGATCCA